CCCCCACAACCCTATTCAGGAATAAGTCGTATAGGTAATGGATGAATGGATGGATGGATGGAATCTGGGTATTTTACAAAATTTGAACTATATAGTAAATGGAACTACAGGAATTCTTGCATGTTTCTTCAGCAAAATGAGTTATTCAAAAGCAAATAACTCCTAATTACAAATATAATCATGTGTTATTTACACACTTTTGCAAATAAATGTTGTCTTTAGAGCGCTAAAACTAAGCAAATACAAATTCACCCAAATTGCTATAGCACATTTTATGAGAGTTTGAAGTTTGTGCATTCACAATTGCCGCCATTAGTGCTGAGCATCATGGCCAGCACCACCGGCAGGCAAAGGACGCAGTTTCCATTCCTCGACTTTCAAATCAAATCAGAAAAGGTTCAAATTATGAAGAAGCTCTGGGGTGCAAAGGTGCTAGCCTTGGTGGATTAGACTTATAGCTGAAGCAATTTATGCTTGCAATCAGTGATGAAGAGGGTGTTTACTTCTGCTGTGCTGTTTTCAAAGGCTTATTTTCACCACAACTTCATTTGGATAGACCACTCTGCAAATAGGATGAATGCTTACGCATTTTTCTTCACCTACCCAGAATGAATACACAGACACACACTGTCGTCACAATAAAGGCTTGACCTGAAAGGGATTTTGGGAGTACCTGAGGCAGAGGAGTTGGACTTGCTCTTACCTGTACAGCCACCACAGACAGCACCTCCACTGAGATCCTATTAAATTCGTCAAAGCAGCCCCAGGCTCCCGTCTGAGCCAGGCCTTTGTAGATGTTCCCACAGGACTGGTGGACAGAAAGAGAGAGACAGGTATTCAGACTGACAAAGTGGAACAGGAAGTCTCGGAGACCTGGTCCAGTTGAATGATATGGCAGACAGAGATGTATCACCAATTACACAGAAGATATATGGAAAAAGATTCATTGCAGTAGCACAGCAGGTTGAGAGTGGGTGGATAATAACAGGATGATACATAAACAAGGCGTCACACTAATAAAACAAGGCACTGATGGCTAGAAGAGAAAGGCTAAAATGTCTGCCACCCACATTTTAGCTCTTACAGGATCAACTTGTGAGCAAGTGAACAGTGCTCTGGAGAGCAGCTGGACTGGGATGAAGGAGGCAACTGACTTTTCTCTCTCCAATTACAAGGGAGAGGAATCCTTCTCTGACGCAAACCAGAGCTGACTAGAGGATTGATTTAACTTGTGTGTGTGAATAACTGAATATGACTAACAGTGTGGGGGTCTGAAGCCAGCCTCTAGTCCTTGTGTTCCTCCTGGAGTATATTAGCACTTCTCTCTGACACCTCGCTGCGGCGTGTATAGCCGGGGGTGCTGTACGCCTCTGTACTGTAATGATGCCCCTGTCTGGGGAAAGCAGGAGCAAGGCGATGACAAGATGATGTTTATGTCTACCTAGACCACTCTATATGCAGAAAGAGTATACAAGAGTAGATAATAAAGCAAAGTGGGGGTACAGAGGGGGCATTTTGTCAAGGTTTAGAAAAGAAATAATCAGATTTTAACTGAGCAGCTCTTCTTTCAGGGAAACGAAAGATGAAAAGAACAAAGATGAAAAGAGTAGGGCGTAAATGTAGGCTGACAGCTTTAATGACAAATACATGCCATACTGCTGACAAAGGCAAAGATGAAAAGAAACATACATAATATGGACACATTAGCTACATGCACAGACACAGACACATGCGCACAAGCTCACCTTGTAGTCCATCTGTTCAGAGCAGTTAAATACATAGACCATGATGCCAAGGGCTCGGCCCAAGTCTTTGGTAGTCTCAGTCTTGCCTGTGCCTGCAGGCCCAGCTGGAGCCCCACTCATGGTCAGGTGGAGGGACTGGGTCAGGGTGATGTAGCATCTAAACACAGCAGAGACAGACAGGCGTGTGCATCTCTGATGGGCACTGGAGGTTTCCTTAGTAGTATTGGTAAAATGATGATATTATTATTATTATTTATTTATTATTATTGCTGCTGCTGCTGCTGCTTTGTCACAAGCTCAGAAACACAAAAATAAATATATAAAAGTTCATAAATAACACCTACTATCACCTCTACAGCTCAGTGGTTGACATGCTGTATGTAGGCTGTTTAATAGGGACACAAGAAGAAATGTTACAACAGCGAGGCTGGTTGTTTCCCCCGTCTCAGTATGTATACTACACCAGGTTTATCACCTCTTGATGCTTTCTCTGTACATCACATACAGGCTTGGGAGTGATACTGATGTTATCATCTCATCTTCGAAAGAAAATGAAAAACAGTTTAATAGCAGCTCGATATGTTGAACTATTCTTTTAAAGATTATAGGAACAAAGTTACTGCTTGATAAATTTTAATACCTTCATTTATGCTATTTTTCAGTTCAAATTTATAAATGTGTATCTTTTAAATATAACTATAATAAATCCAATTATAATTGCCTGTTAAACACTGGCAAAGTGACACATCATTAGTTTGCTGGCAAATGCCAAACTCCACACTGTTTTTCTGTCTTTGCAAAAATACATGCTGGGATTAGAGGAATTGAGAGCTCCCAGCTATTCTTGCACAAACCTACTCCTTTTTCCTGAGAAAAATAGCTGCAGGAACCCAGGGGTTTTAGCAGTGGCTGGGTCTGGCTTGTGGTGTGTGAAGTTTCAGAAGAGCACCATTATGTTCCAAATGACTGGTCAAAGACACTTCTCCTGCACCTCAAATCACTGAAACAACATGCGGAAATGGCTGTAGGACTTTCCTCCTCGGTACCTGCAATAACTGGCCCAAAATGTGATGGAAAACATATGATCAAACAATTCTGAGTAATTATTGTTAATACGGTTTTCCATGAAAACAGTGACATGCATTCAACAGAGCTGGGAGATGTTCTGTCACCACCTTTCACCCTGATTCAGAGCGGTAATACAGTAAAGAAAACGACTACACATCAAATAGTCCCTTCAAATCATCTAGACTGACTTTTTAAAAATACACAGGGAAAGCCATGATTTCTGCAGCAGCATATAGCAGCTACTAGTACAACTAACAAATTCTGAGTTGACACAGTTCTCTAACCAGCACTGACAATGTCTTGGTGTCTGCTCAGCTGTCATTGTACATTACCTCGTTACATGATAATATAATCTGCTCCTGCACTTTGATTATTGCGCAGGCTGACTGGTGACACCAGTGATTGCTTCTCCTGCAGAACCTGTCAGGACTAACAAACACTCCGCCCATCCAGTATCAATAAAAAAGCAGCAGCAGCAGCAGAGGGACTGTGAACTGATGGAGACAATCAGGGCATTATTGATCATGGCAATAAACACCATGGTTTGCTTTGAATATCAATACGACAATGATTTTAATGAGCTGCTGGTTAATAGATGATGTATGGAAGGGGGAAATATTGGAAAGCATAACAAGAGACAGATGCTCGGAGAAGACAGATGATCCCATCTGTATACAGTGCATCATATGGTTACCAATGCCAACAGGCTTTATGGCTCTCCCTTGAAATATGGCCTAAAATTGCACAATCAGTCGTCCTGGAGCCTGGATAAGGATGTCCTGTGCAGAATAACTAAAGCAGATACAAGATGAGAGAGTGAAACTAAACTGGCCGTCTGTGACAAGGTGACGTATTTTATTACAGTGTTTTCTAAAAGAAACAGCTATACATCAGTCTGTCTGACTCACTCTCCCTCCATTCTTCACTCTGTGTTGGTCTCTGTGACTGTGTGTGACTGTGTGTGTGTGTGTGTGTGTGTGTTCGCCAGGTAACGTATTCCTGACATTTTGCATAATGGTGCAGCACTGGAGATCCTGCAGTAAGTATTGAGTGAATGCTAACACTGTGCCAATAACATTCCTGGTGTTAGTGATTAGTGATTCCTTTAGCCTAATTATACTGCTGCGGGAGGTAAACACACCATACTGGCTACAGTCTACGTGTGATAAACAAGCACACACACACACACACCTGTGTTCATTATATAAATTTTCAGAGCAGCTACAAATGAATGAATGGCTTGATGCCTCCTTTATCACTGCTGTGATTAACATTTAGATTATATTTATGTTTATGATTTCCAAACAATTAAGATGTTTCAGATAGTCTGTTTTCACAGCAGACATTCTGACTTGTCACAGCAGGAAAAGCAAGGGTTAAAATAATGTACTGCCAGTAATGATAGCTGAATGAGCTGCTTCTGCTATGGGCCCTTCTCACAGCAAACATTTGGCCATGTCATAGCAGGAGAACACAGGTGTGAATATTAACATTAATGATGGATTCAGTTCAGTGGCCTTGTAAACAGGCACAATACCAGAGCCCTGGAACTAGCTTAATTTTGGGGGCTTGTTAGCATTCTACAAATTAATTACAAATTCAAAAAGGTCTACAGTAATATCTCTTTCCAGGAACAATGTAATTGTTTCTCTGGATAGGGCGTACCCAACCATTTCTATGGGAACATTTTTTAGTAGAAAGAAGTTTTAGTCAAAACTGATTACAATAAAGTGTGTGAATGATTCCGCATTACCAAAACTAGGCTAGATGTTGCTAGATGTATTCTTCTCACAGCACTTAAACTCAGGGCTCTATTTTCCTGCAATAGGGTGCAGTGTTAAGCTTGTGGCTAAATTCCATTAGCGAGGCACATATGGTGTGGTCAACAATGCTTTGCAGTTTTGGTGACCAAAGACGCAGTGCACTTTTGTGCACAGACAATATGGAGGAATGGTGGAATACATTATTATATAGATGGTGAGCAGGTGGAGTCAGGGCTAGCTTTAGTTACGTCCAATCAAACCAGTGCCTCTCATTCCCTTTAAAGAGCAGGGTGGAAACCCGACTGACTGAGGTTACTGATGTCAGGATGAGGAAATATATGAGAGGAAAGATTATTTCCCTGTATCTTCTTCTCCTGCCAGGTATGTTTTCCATTTGTAGATCGAAGGTGGCAAAATGATTTATGCAATACTGCACTTAAATATTCACTCAGTAGTCTGTTAATATCCCTGACCAGCATTTGTACATGGAAGAAAGAAAGTCTCTGATCCTGTAACCAGCAGCTGTTATATTTCAGATAATGTGATGTTTGGTGATATCAGGTTTTCCTTTGAGTGTAGCGAGATGCATTCTTCGCCTGCTACCTCCATTTCAAAAAAAGTTAAGCAACAATATCATGCAACAAACATACTTTTAGCAGTTTCTTGAGTCATGGATTAAAGGATTTGACACCCAGCCCCCTGGCTTGTGGTCCACTATTGAAATGAAAGCCAGAGGCAAACTGTGTGGGTTGTAGCAAGCCGCAGCGAGGGCATTGGCCATATGGTGAAATCTAGCCACACAGCGGCTGATCTGCCCATCAAAGCCCATTGTTTCTCCTTTGTTCAGGCTTCAAAGAGAATACTGGTAAGTCTGGGAAACCACACAGTCAAACCCAGCAGTTTGCCAGAGGGCTCTGGGAGGCAGGTATTTAGCTCTGTGGCGTTACAACTTTATCAGGAATCTTGCAAAAACATGTGCATGTAAACAAAAAGCCGTTGGCAAAGGGCCCAAGCTGAGTTGTTCTAAAAGGTTTTGCTTGCATTGAGTGTACATGATTCAAATCTAGATTCGTAAACAGCGTCAGATGGTTATTATCAGTTGAGATGTGTGCATTTTCTACTCGGTTTTTAAGGAAAAAAGACCAATTTCATTAACACAAATGGATTTTTTGAAAGCATACTTATAATGGACTCTGAATTGCCTTAATGCAAATTGGCATTTTAATCAACCTGTACAGGACTACATGCTAGAAATGGCTGCTAGGTACTCTTTTCATTTAACCTTTTTTGAATAAATGGGTTGACTGCCTATGGCCAGCTGACTGTTTGCTAAACCTCAGTAATCCAATCACAGCCCAGCAACTGTAGCTAAAAATATGGCAGGCCTGTCAAGCTTGTGCAAAAGTCTGTTAGTGAAAATTATGGCTGACATATAAAGTGTGTTTATCCACTATAACAAAAGCTGCAAACATTTAGCATGTCAAGCTACTGTAACCTGTGGATCCTAACTCGTCAGTGGCTCAAAGAACAAACATTTTATTAGCCCTGTTCACAACTAGCATATCTACTGTGCAATATTTTCCCACTGTGTGGGAGCTAATACTGAGCAGTACTATGTCAGAGTTTACATTATGTTTAGTGGCTCCGTTCTGCCCCTTTTTGGATATAGAGCATTTTAGACTCCAGCAAGCTGAGCCAAACTTCTCAAATGCTGTTTCATTCACCAAATGTTAGTCTCCAACTTACAAGCCTTTTCTCTTGTAACGTTAAGTGTGAAACCTACTATTGAAAAAGCAAACAATAAAGACTAAGTCCAAACAAAAATAAACAACTTCACTTTTTTATCATGTTATAATTCCAGAACTACCCAACCTACACTACAAGTAAACACTACACCACAAAACCCATGCAGGTTCTTTATTTACAGTATATCTGAATATTATATAGATCAAGGGTTGATGATGCAACTGTTTTGCCCGGGACCTATTACTGAAAGCAAGACTGTAAGCGAGATGTGTCTTTGTCAGCAGGACAGCGGCCAGACCAAACTAAGGTAGACTCATAGGAAAAGATAAACAGCGTTTTTACTTATGGGTTTATTGATTTTACTGTTTTTTTCCCCAGCTTGCTACAGAGGGCACATGAACGTGAGACCAGAAAGCTCAGAGCTGCATCAGGAGCCTGATCAATCATAACAGACACCAGTAAAAAGTTTGCAACAGAAAATATCTGGGGATTTATGTGATTTAAACAGCTGTGTGTGGAGATCAAGTACTCAGTGTGAATTGGGGGTTAGGCTCATGTATGTAGTCATCGTGTGCAGTTATAGGGTTCTCATTTTAAAAGAAGTCTGGAAACATCTAATGTAGCGAATGTAATATGCTGGTTAACTAGAGCTGATGAAATCTGCCAGTGATAGTTATCATTTTGGTAACATCGAGAGTTGCCAGTTAGAAATAAGAAACCTGCTTTTGTCTACTTCTGTCTGGAATTCAATATTTACTGAGAATTTTGGTAAATATACCAAACTGTGTAGCATGCTGCTGCTGTAGCAACAGTAAGCTAACATCCAGTTGAAATAGTTTCACCTAGCAGGCAGTTGACAGGCAATCATGATGTTTTGTTGCCTCTCAGTTGGAACAAAGGCACAAGTGACACCCCCGTACCTGTCTGTTAGAGGAGTGATGACTAATCGTGGCGTGTTGCCCAGGTATTCGTAGGAGTAGAGAAACTGGGCATCGCAAATGTTGGCAAAACATTGTTTCTCCTTGTCGCCCCAACGGTGTCTTAGCTGGGAGAGCCATACAAAAGCCTGAGAATTCTCCACCTTAAAAAAAAAAAAACAGTTAAACAGAGTATGCCTACACTTGAGATAAAGCCAGAAATAATCAGTGCTTCTCCATCTTTTAATTATGGTAATGAAATACCTTGGTAGAATATCATGAGCCTCTCCAATAACAGCACAGCAACCACGCAACTAAGGAAGAAGTTCTACAGTTCAAGTTCTTAGATGGCTTTATCTACCGTGCTCCCTGCCTCACCTTTTGAGCGATCATCTTGGCCACCACGTCTCTGGCATGGACGTCAATGGTGCAGATGGTCATGACCTTCTGCCGATCGCCCGGTGTGAGCTGGCCAATCAGCATGGAGATGAGGGTGTTGAGTTGGGTCACCTGTTTCTTGTAGTACTCTTTCATAGCGTTGTCATAGCCCTCCTCCAGACGGGTAAAAGCCATGCCAACATCAGACGTCCACCAGATCTGAGTACAGGTCAATGCCACCTGAATCCGAAACAATGAAAGAAATCACAGATTCAGAAGACAGTTACAGGTAATCAAATCCTGTATTTAAGATTAATAAGGTTCTCTGTGGTTGTTTACTTGTATCCACATCTGAAATAAGACAGCGTCTAAATGTGAAACATGTAACTGGGCCAACAAAGACATATGAAGCATATGGGCTTAGTATATACCCATATGTTTCACACATAAGGATAGCAACCCTTTGTCTTTTTACAAAGTATAAATAGAATTTTCTCTTTATTTCTGTAGGAAAACTTGGATTGAGATACATAGTTTATGTTTGAAAGCCAAGGCTGTTTTTACTAATCAGTGTTAAAAAGTGAGCTTCAAAGAACTGCGGATAGGCTGAGTGGATTTTATGTGGTCTGGTCATTAATATGTCAAAGATGTCATTTCATCCTAAGACTGGGAAGGAGAGGTCCACAAGACTTTGTAGAATCTTCACCACTTCCTCTTTGACCTAAACTCCCTAAAACAGTGTCCTCTTCTGAGCTGATAAAAATGTTAACCTGCTCATTTCTGTCACCTTACATTTTGACCATGGTCTCACAGCAATAAGCTTCACGAGGAACAGTGAATGTCTTAAAGGGGCTTTCAGATAGGACGCGGTGGGCGCTGCACTCCACTATCAAACCTGTTCATTTCTATGTGTTGTGAAGGTATCTGCGCTGCGCTGAGCTCGGCTGTCACACCTGTGCGCTGTGCCCAAATTGAGCTTTTTTTAACTTCAACACAGCACGACCTCTCGACGCGTCCAATTGCACAGAACCTGACAGGCCACAAAGAAAATGGAGAAACTGATTATGGCAGACCCACTCCCTCTTCTTCTTTACTGCAGCTCTTCTTCCTCCTCCTCATCAATACAACTAAAGCCAGAGCTATTCGCTGACATGTAGATAGATACATTGTGCATCCAAGTCCGCCGATTGAAAAACATAGTTAATATCTGCTAAGCACCTCCTGGAAAGCTTTTAGCAACTGGTGCCCAACATGTGCTCGAGTTACACGTGTGCACCCTCCTCTCCTGTTCTGCACCCAACCCCCACAGCAAGTGCAGCGCATACCGCATCCTATCTGAAAGCCCCTTTACAGTATTTAATGTGTTCCTTGAGTTTTGACTCACAGGCTAGAGGTCACTGAAACTTTCTGATTAGTTGTTACAGCAACTTTTATTCATACGCTGTTAATCTACAGTCACTAAATGAGGAACCTTTGACTTAAATTAACTAAATGATTTATTTACCCACTCTTTTATAAAGCAAATGCTATTGACCTTGTTGATTTCAACATTGCTCTAAAGTCCTGAATTTTAAAATGGCTGTGCTGTGTGGGCTGAAATGTTCAGTCTTGTATCACTTGTAAGCACCCAATCAGTAACGTCAGAAACATATTTTGCCATTCAGAAACACAAATACTTGCATTCTGGAATTACAAACATTTTCAGTTAATAAGTGTTCCATTATCATAGACACACACCTATATTTGTTCTCATTCTCTAACACACACTTTCTGTTCAAAATACTGAACAGAGTCGGGCTGCAAACTGTGTATGTAAAGCATTAGCGAGTGAGCACCAGACTGAAATATCTATGAGCGACAGACATGATTTTGGTACCAATCCATCAGATGCTGGCCAAAGGTGACTAATGGGAAAAACCACCAAAGTGAGTGCCATCAGCTAAATCCATACATACATCCCACTGAGCCTGTGTACCTGAGCTGGATAGTCAAACAGCCACTGCTCCCTGGGTTTGTCCTCATAGGCCACCACTGCCTCGGTCATCTCATATCGAACTGTGGTGCGCATGGCGTCCAGCACCCGGTTCAACCACACCTCCACCTTGCACACAAAAAATAACAAAAACAGGCCCATGAATACAATAAAAAAAACATTGCAATGTGTGTCACGTGAGCACCAACTGCCTCTCTTATCAGTGGTCCCTAATGAGGTCGTTAATAAGCATTAGAGTTGAAGTGGAGTCAGGCAAATACTAGAGGATATAATGAAAAATTAATGGATTTATGGGCTTTGATATGCAAAACCCCAGGGCAGCGAGAGACTCAATTTCATTTCTCTCCTATACTGCAAATTATGATATCTATATTTGATGTATATTTTCCTCAACATCTTTCCATTAAAGAAAAGTATATTTAATACATTCCTCTATTGACAAACACCACTAATGAAGACATTAAATGTCTTTACCATTACACTCAACCACACATAGAGTATAAATAAAAGGTTATGCGGGTATTTTACCTGTCCAGTGCAGTCACAGGACTGATTGAAGGGGACATATTCCTCTTCTTTGCTGTACATGCCCAGTCCAGTTTTAGAAGGATTCCCCTGTCCATCTGCTTCAAATTGCATCTTAGCCATGTTGTCAAACAGCTTAGACAGATGCTTCTGGACCTGAGCAAACACATACACATTCAGCTCCGGTTTCAATTATTCTCAGCTCACAGCCTGGCTGGTACTTTCATTGCTGCTGCACAAATAAATAATGCTTCATTAGTGTTTTTCAGAATTGTGAATATAAGGGCAGGCCCTGTGTTCTGCTGCACACCTGCTAACTTCCTTTTAGAGAGCTTTAGTGGCAAGTTGTGCTTAACAGTGATTTATTTCTCCAAGCTGGGACTGCATAAGATAATGTCCCAGTGATGTAGGTTGAAGGAGGCAGCAAAGCTATGAGCAACAGCGCCCCTTTATGGATGCTGAGGGTACATCACAAAGCACCAGCCAAAGAGCTAAACTAACTGTTAAAAATCAGCTTTTAGGAAGTCCTGCATAAAGACATAAACACTGTTTTCTCTGACTCTATGAACAAACTAAAACAGAAACTTCACTGCTCTCCTTCAGGCAAAAATTATTAGAGCCACCTGGTGTGGGTTGGTCCCATTAGACAAGATGTCCAGCAGATCAGCTGAAGAGATGAAGTAAAATCTCGGGAAGGCCAGACGCTTGGTGTCCAGGTACTCTGCCAGAGCTTTTTCACACAAAGAAAGCCTGTATAGAAACACACAAGTGTCAGTGTAAATATGCAGAAACCCTGTGCAAGAGTGTCTCTTATAAAAGACATAAGGTGTAGAAACCTGTCACCTGCTCTGGATGTCCTCCAGTTTACCAAACAGTCCCGGTTTATTGGTGGCCTCCACTACGTTAGGCGTTTGATGTACAGCATATGCCAGCTCTTTGAAATCGGCATCAATCCCCTCGAAGCGCCTAGAGTCCTACAGATGATTTCACAAGGGAGCCCGGGCAGAGGATTTAGATTCCCACAAGAGAAAGGAGAGAATCAGAGGTTTAATAGCAAACATCTGGATTTAAGCACAGCCCAAACATCACGGGAGCAATTAAAACCTTGTGTAGTATCAGCTACTAAACTGGAAGCATGTTCTAAGTAATGAATTTTTAATTAACAGCTATAACAGCCATGCTATCTGGGTTCATATGGGAATGACAAGGGCACAGGTTAAAGCTGCTCAACACATGAGTTCGTCATTGATGTATACCTGAAACACAAACCTGTAATTAACTGCATGTGTGTATGTATGTGATAATATCTAAAGTATTTAGCGTGCAACCTCGGGCAGCTGTGAGCGGATGTCCTCAGAGCCAATGAAGATGCTTTCCAGGTGGGTCCATGTCCTCTGTACCTCAAACCAGATGGAGATGATAGAGTCTGCGATGGACAGCTTGCTCTGCCATGTTGACACTTCGTCCAGAAAGTGGGCAATGTACTTGGATGACATGAGGTTCTGCAGCTGGACCTGGTTGTCTTCTAAGGTCTCAATCAGCTCCTCATCTGTGTGCAGCAGAGGCACCTGGGTGCGGTGATGGGGCTCATACTGGAACTGCATACCTGGATGGGAACAATACACTCCATCAACTGGTCTCAACTCTGGGTGGCAAGATGAAGAACTCTTATTTTGATAGTCTGGTTGTAACAAAGTGTCCCCTTCCTGCACCTGTCCAGGTGGAGTTGAGTTCTGAGAGGACTTTCTCCATCCCCATCTCCTTGACAGCTTTGTCCACAATCCCTCTCACCTCGTCTTCAAAGCAGTGCAGGTTGAGCTGCAGCAGGTCAGCCAGAGTGGTCCCCTGCTCACAGAAAACCACAGCAGCACACGTCATACAATCTACACTATAAAAATGTTAATATTAGTAACATATTATAACATTCGGTGTGATGGCTGGTTTCATTTTACACAACTACACACACAGTCATTAATACAAAGAACCCATATGCAGTTATTATAATCAAACTGCAGATGTCAAGCCTCTGCTTGGTCACTAATGTCACCAAAATAAACACATTAGCTTTAGATGCTAATGCACCCAGATGGAAGAACACTACATCTGAATCAAATTTGAGTCATTTGGCTGCTTTTAACACTCTCCATTTCAAAAAGCCAAACTGAAGTTAAGCCTGGTTTTAGCTCTTTCTTTGTCCAACTCTCTCTGAGCAAAAGAACATGTGGGTCTAGTAGCCAGTGTTTCAGACTTTTAGCTGTTAGGAGCTCCTTTGTGTTCCGTCACAGTGACCCTTAATTCTTTACAATATGGTGTCACCAACAAAGTTCTTTGTGGCAAGCATCTAACAATAAATAAATAATCCGTTTGTTTTATTATTTGATTGCAACACCTTTAAAGGGAGGTTGCTGGTAAAGAATTAAATGTGTGGAAGCTCTAATTGTCAGCTCTTATAGGCAGTGACATCTGCTACTGTTACTCTCCTTTCCTATAGGTGGGGTACATTAGCAGATGTAAAACTCATCTGCAAATGACCAAACAGCTCCCTGCTGTGGAGTATTTGCAGCTTAGTCTCTGAGTACATTCAAATGCTAGTTCTATAAGTATCTGAAAAACACGACATCAAAGCGAGCCAATTTAGCCTCTGCAATGCATTTTGTACAAACTATAGAGCTGGTAAGGACAAACAATTGGCATATGATTTTCCTCCTGCAGCACAAACAAGCCCAGTGAGGATGCGGACAGAGCCGGGGAAGAAAATAAGAAAATACTTGGAGTGTGTGTGTGTGTGTGTGTGTGTATCCCCTTTTAAAGCTCTCCCTTACAGTGGTGGCACAATATTGACACTGCTGCTTGTTTCAGATATTAAAAATAAAAATTGCTCTAGTATACTACCCATAATTCAACCAACAGTATAATATGAAAACAAGTGACCAAGGTCATAATCAGAACTATATCTACAGTATTTTCTCATAGTTTCTCTCCATATGGAGACCTGGTCCATGGTGAAGCGGACTCCAGTAGCAGTCATCAGCTGGTGCCAGTGTCGAGCTCTGATGGCTGGATTTTGGAGATCTGCCACAGCCCTGAGGGAGGTGAGCAGGTTCTTTACTCTGCTGTCCAAATCTGTGAAGGCCTCCCATGCTCTAACCTACAGGACACAAAGGCCATAAATAAGTGCAAGAGCTTTAGACAAAGAGAAAAGTGCTCGAAGCTGCAACTCAGGATTTTAGTTTTATTTGGTCCAGTAAAATTGACCGAGTTGACATTCATGCAGTTATACACATTAAGTACATTCCAGCCCATTCAGTTAAGGGCACATAACTCCCAGAGAGATGTTATTGCTGTCCTTTCCATAACAAACTAGTCATTTACCTTTGTGTAAGGCGCTTAATCTGACTGTTTGCTAAGTCCTGACGCCATTGTTTACTGCAGCTATGCCTTTCTGTTCTTGCATGGCATAAATACATTTTATATCATAGCAGGGGAAAGCTTCCTAGCTGAAATTACATTTTTAAGCAGTGGGTTTTTGATTTAATTTCATTTACTGCAGCCCACCATTTAAACCTGGAGAAATCCAAGCTTGGTATTGCTTGCTAAGGCTATGATTGGATCCTCTCTGTTTGGGGGAAGGGGTTAGGAAATGGTCAAGCAAAGTTGAAAGCTACCTCCAATTTTCCCTGTTTCTTCCTCTTTCTCTTTTCAAGTTTCCTTTTTACCTTTTCTCAGCCTCCTACACTTCCTCATGCTCTCCCTTCACCTCTTTATCAAGTCCCCGTATATCTTTAGAGAAGTGTTTGCACTCCAGCTCCATGTCCTCCACGTGGATCTCTCTCCAGGGAGTGGTCCTCCATGCAGCCATGCTGGACTCCACCATAGTGATCATGTCCCACAGCTCCTTCAGCAGACACACTTCACGCCTTGGGGATGAAGGAGAGCAGGCAAAGTGAATGAAACCAGCATGAAAGCGGCAAAACTTCAGATACTGACTATAGATGTAAAAGAGCATCTCTGCTGTAACAGCTCATTAATTTAGAATTTGGCACAGGCTTATTTTTTCCTTCCAGCTTTGGACTTTACCTGCACTGTCGGAGCTGTTTGTACTCAGAGACAGTGACCTCGAACAGGCTGGCAGACTCCACCAGGGAAGCCATTACCACCTCCCGTTCCTGGATCTGCAGGTGGAACATGTCCAACATCTGGTAGGGGCTCTCACTGTTAAATCTGGAAGAACACAGGCATCCATCAAAACACAGTCACATTTGCACCAGCTCAGTATAAATCAGTAGGTGTTTATTAATGAAAGGCTTTAGTTTTGCCAGGCCTGACTTGGCTGCAGCATAACCAGGCCTAACTGCACACTATGACAATTAACACTGACTTTCATGACATTAATGGGAAAATAATCACCAGGTTATTAAGAGACCAATTACACACATAACTAATTGACAATTAAACATTATGATGAAGCATCCCTGTCGATGAATTAATTATCATTATGCTAAGATTCAGTTAGCCTTGTCAGATGTAACAGCCTCAAGATAACGCTTCCCTGTTATCAAGCAAGCAGACAAGGAAAGGTGACATCCTTTTTTTTTTTTATAAACGCTGAACTTAGGCACTAAGAAAAAAGCTATATGGTGAATTGCATTGCCTTCACTGGCTGACTCTGGAAAACTCAAATCAAAAGGTTACAAAACTTTATACTTTATCCTCCATACTTCAAAATAGCATCTTTAAGTGTTTGGTAATACACGTCAACAACTATAACTCTTACTATAAAGCAAAAAATAATTGACAAGATATTATAACACAGTTGTAATCAAAATAAGTCTTTGAATTTATATAAATATGATGTCTTTATTTATTATAGTTCTTAATCAATTATGATGTTTATTTACTAGAAATACTTCACCATCAGTGACGATGGTCTTTAATGTGATGTTGATCAAGTTATAGTTTTATCATGAGGATCAGCTATTAATAACGCACTAGTAACTAGACCAGACTGTAACTCATTTGTTAACCATCAACATTTGAGCTTCTCAAAGCTTTTAGTTAAGCTTACAGGGTTTCTACGCCAAAATTGCAAGTTGTGCATAGCAAGGCCACTGGAGCCTGTTCACCTACACTGAACCTTGACCCCAAATATGGTGAGCTCTATAACAAACTCTCACTGATGCAAGGTGGAAAGTATGACATTGATCGCTTTATTGTACAGAAAAATGTTGGAAATATTCATTTAGCATCCCAGGATTGTTGCTGTTTAGTAATACTTGATATTTTTATATTAACAATGTATAAAATCACAATGTAAAAATGATGTGACAGTGTGAAAGAGGTCACACTGTGAACCCTGGTGTGAAAGACTTATGTATCTACCTGCATCATCAACTCAACTATCCCTTTGCAAATTATGTGCGGTAAAAGAATGTATCAGTTTTTTCACTGGAAAGAATGTTACCCAAGTACACAGTCCAGGCAGCATTTACATTAATCACAAAACATAACTGGAAAACACTTATAAAAATAAGCCAGTGTTTCTTCTACAGTACCTGAAGGGCCCATTGTTACGGAAGTGCTCCCTGAAGTTGTGTTGTTCCACGTCAAATGAAGCACACTTACGACGCAGGCTAGCCACCTCGGTGGCCTGCAGCAGCGCCACCTGCTGTTTGACTAACATTGCTTGCTTTTTTACATTGTTCCACTTTTCTGGCAACTCCTGCAGATAAACAGACAGATACAGAGCAGGGGTGACAGATGATGAATTGCCAGGAGGAGGAGCACAGACCAGCAATGGGTGATTGAATACACAAAGAAAGAGCAAGAGAAATGGCTCTGTGTCAGCTCAAAGACACAGAGGAAGTGCTAAAAAATCATGTGAAGTGACCGAGCATCAGTCTTTACCTCCAGCTGTTTGTAGACCACATCAGGGAGCTCCTGATCATACACCTTCAAGAGAGCGATGGTTTGCTGTAGCGGCTCAAACATAGAATCTGTGGTGTTCTGTCTTTCCTTTACTGCCAACAGGTGACCCATGACCCCTACCAGGCCATTGTAGTCACCCTCCTCCACCTGCTGGCCCAGACCAGCCTCAGCCACACTAGTAAACTTCTCCAGATCTGACAGACTGGGGAGAGATTTCCATGATCATTAAAGGGGCACTTTATTAATTTACACGAGTTTAATGGAATGATAATCAAATCAGTTGTAAGCCCACACATGACAAACTTTAAATGGAAAGCCTGCATTAGAATGAGGGCATCATAGCTTGAAAAACAGATGTTTAACAGGTATGGAGGAAGTAATGGAAAGAAAGCTATCAAATTGCATTATAGAAAATTTAGGAAGCAGTGTTTTTGAGGTTGGTCTATACTTAGTTATTTTAAAAGTCTGACTCTCACCAGTCCCCTAATTTATGCAAGTGCAGCTTTTTGCTAAAGAAATGAATGGAATACCCCTTTAAAATCTTCAAGTACTAACTCAAAGCAGCTGGACTTGTTGTTGTTATCTGGAAGACTCAGTCAATCTCAAGAAGATCCAACAACTCTACTACTAGTGACAAATTTCCAAACATCAGTACAAAAGCTAGCAAATGTACATTTTAACAAGTTACTCAAATGTCAATAGTCAGCTGTTTACTGAAGTAATTAATGGGTAACTTAACACCAACTGAAAATATACAGATGCAGAACAGTACCCTTGTCCACACACAACCACACCAATCTTTATATGTGACATGTGTTGTCCTGGTCACCCCACAAAGTAGCACAGTGTGAGAAAACACTCATTGACTTTTGTCTCATAGCTGTCCACTAACCATGCTAAAACCTTATTTTTGGGGAGCAGTCAATAACAATTGCAGAGAGTTAACTGAAATTAATTTATCTATAGTTTTTTTAATGCTGGTGTGACTAGGCTGATCAGTGTCACAAGTAGAGAAGAGATGGGCAAATCAGCCGACTGACTCAATATTTCAATTACGCAGTAGTATCTATCCAAAGTTTGCTAGCGTTAGCCAACATACCAGAATAAATAAGGCTATAGCAGCAAAACCCCTGGATGTATTAAAAAGTACTTCACCTGTTGGTTACATGGTCAATGAGGTGCTGTTTGAACATGTAGCTCCACTTTTTGATGATGTTAAGTAAGGCACTCTTCATGCTATGGCCATCCACCTTCATCCACCCATGAAACACGTGGACTGGCTCCAGAACCTGCACCTCCTCATAGATTTTTTCATACCTACAGTATGATGGCGAAGTGATTTCAGACAGGTAAACAGAAGTTAAGTCTTAATGAGTCTTTTACACTAACTGTTCCTTAATCTAAATCCAATCTGAATTCCAGGCTTCTTAAAGAAATTACTAGGATTTGAAATCCTACACCATAAAAATGACCACAGACAGAAATTAGAAAGCACACACAAACATATGCTCACACTCTGCTTGGTCAGTACCCACCTGTCTACCTGCTCCCTAAAGTTGTCCAGTGTTGGTGGGCTCTCTGGGACGCCATCCTCAGCATAAACCTCCATCTCCTGGCTGGTGAGCACATGGCCATACTGAAGAAACTGACACATGAACTCCTTCCTATTGTCCACATACAGGTAGCTGTAGCACTCCAAAGAGTTGCGAAACTCGCAGCACGTTGCCATGACACTCTGCACACGTTCCATGAGGAGATGACGCATGTCTGCAAGGTCAGCCATGTCCTCCATGTCACCCTGAGGGGAAAGGGTCAGACACCAGCCTCAGTGTTGTGACATGGTAATAGGAGTGATCAGCATTTAAGTTATACCGTAGATACCGGGGCTGCATCCCAGCAACAGTACCTGATAGTGGGGAAAGGGGCTGTGCTGGGCCAGGCGTGGCACCAGTGAGGAGATTCTGAACACATCACTGATGAGACTTTCCACTAACTCGAAGAAACCGTCTCCTGCTCCAAACTCCAGAGAGGGAGTGAACACAATGTCAGGGACTCTCAAATCCAGCTGAGCCTCAAACAGAGGGGCCACAACTGCTCTCTGGTCTGGAGTGAAAAGTCAGGATTACAACCAGTAGAGACTGCAAGGGAAAAACCTTCTAAAGCAAGTAAAGCCACAGTGAACCCAGTTTGTGTCCAGCTCTCTTTTTCCTCTTACTGTTCAATACTCCCTTCTTCCTCTATACTAGAGTTAATTTACAGCTGTTCAATTGCTCCCTGGGTTGAAATCATGGCTCTTTAATCTCTGCAGGGTATTTTACATCTGGTTTAAAGAAGTACAGAAAGAAGATGAAAAAATAAACACAGCATAACCCCTTGTCAATAGCAAAAGAAAATACCTTGAAAGGATTCTACACACGTTTATCTAGCCCTGACAAAACATCCGGAAATATCTCCTGTGTAAACATTTACAGAAGTTATTGTAATATACTGTAAGTTGTTTTGTTTTTCACCTTAATGATTACAGTGAACATGCTAGCAAACAGCTGTCCATTTACACTTCCCCAGACACAAAGCCATTTGAAATCATGTTTGTGTCCATGTGATATATTTCCAATAGTCATTCCTCTCTTAGCTCTGGTTTAGGCATGGCAAAAATATCCAGAATTCTAGCAGCTAATTGCTAACTCTGTCCATTTGCTGTTTGGGTATAAAGCTGGGAGTGTACAGTGGGTTTATCTGAGCTTTGTTATTGAAAACAGCCACTTGCTGCAGTTGCAAACAAAGAAGATGAGAACAGTGAGACTGAACCAAAACAATAAAGTTGTGTGCCGTAAAAGCCACAGCGTCACATAGTCATTTTATCTAATTCCAACTATGCATGGCTTCAAATTTCAGTGAACTAATACAACTTTTTTTTTATTTCATAGTAATGTTTCTTACATTAAACCAGACAGTGTAGGAGAGGAAGTACACTTGCTTTATTCCACAGAATTTACAGCAGCTGTTCCTAACACAGCTTCCCCTGGGATATTTTAGGGTCATCTCACTCTAAAAGACTATTTGAACCCACACAAGTAGAGAATGATGGAAGCAGAAGCCAACAGACAGTGAGAAGAAGAAGAAGAAGAAGACACAGTAGCAGTCTGGCCACAGTCCACCACATCTTGAACCACATCCCAGTTCATCTGATCTGGTTGACAAAACACGTGCTAGTAAATAAGTCCAGAACTATTTCATGTCCACAGCCAATACAGGCGGACACCCAACTGACATCAAAACCTCTGAGCCTGACAAGTTGTACAAGTCAGTGCTGACTGGAGGATGATGGGTCAATTCTATAGTGCAATCAGAGGAGTGAGTAGTGCTGAATTTTCTGATATCACAGTTGGGGTTTGCAGCAACAATCTGGCTGTGTGACAAATAGGAAGTGTGACTGTTTCTTTTTGTGATTTGACTTTTCTGTGCACTGTTTGTGCATAAACATCTCACCTGTGTTATCCAGGAAGAACCTGAGAGAACACTCGATGCTGTTGAAGAAGCCATCTATGATCATGTCATCGATGTACTCCACATAGGCTTTCCACTCTTCAGATGATGGCTCAGCTATGAACAGCGCCAGGTTGCTCTAAGACACAATAAACATAAAATGTGACACCCATACTGAAACATCATGTCTAGCACATTTCAAAATACCATAACTGCAAACATTTCAAAGCAAATCAGAAATCGCTGACTTCATAATAACCTCGCAAAATGATGAAATGTGAGTGAAATTTAAAGCCAATTCAACAGTTTACACAACTACTGGAAAACCTGTTTATCTACCTTAAGCAGGAAGTGGATCTTTTCTCCTGAAGATAGGATCAGACTGTAAAACCTGTCCAGCCTCTCTGCCCTGTCCTCCAGACAGAGCAAGGTGTCTCTCTTCCCCTCCTTCCTGTCGAACATGGGGCTGGCCCAGGACCTCATGTAGCTCTGGATCTCCTCGACATTGTCTTTGGCTCTCTGTATTCGGCTCTCCATGTCACAAACAGTGTCACGCACCTCCTGGATGTACTGCCAGATACCTAGAGCGGGATCGATGATAGTAACGTGTGGTTGAAAGGTCACAACATCCATCCATCCATTATCTATAGCACTTAACCTAAAGAGGGTAGCATGAGGGCTGGAGCCAATCCCAGCTGTCACTGGGCGAAAGGTGGGGACAGGTCAGGTCAAAACAGTAGCAAATGGAAGAATAAATTAGCCTAGAATGAGTGTGTGTGTGTAGAATCTTTCAGAATGTGCAATATTTCTTGCAAGTTTATTCTGTGTCTTATTTTTTCTGCACTGTGTAACATACAATGCACAATTAGCCCACAGTAGGTTTGTTTTAAATAAAAACATAATAACTGAAAGAGCTCTGCATAAAGACTAAAGTTTTCTAGCAAAAGCAGGGCCGTAGAAGCAGTGTTGTTATACTCAAGTCCAGAACTCGGATTCAAGTCCAATTGGAGTCCCGATTTTCAGGACTTGTGCCTCAACCTAGACTTGAGCACTGATGACTCATACTTGGACTCAGGCTCAAGCATTGACTGCATTCGAACTCGGAAGTTGGAGACTCGGACTCAGGTAATAGGGACTCGCCTTGGACTTAACGAGGACTCACATATCATCTATTCTTTGGTGACTCTAACTTGACTGAGACTTGAACACTGGGGACTAAAGACTCAACTCAGATTCAAGGTTTAGTGACTTTACTACAACACTGCATAGAAGTGTGGTTCACCTGCAAAATATGTCAAAAAAACTTGTCTCAGCTTTAAGCTTTCTTTTACTTAGTTTTCAGGATGTACAGTATATCATTGTTTATCCTTATATTCTTGTTTAACTAACTACTATGCAACCAGGAGCAGCTTGTGCCTTAAATGCACTTCTCATTTTTGCTACATTCTTGTGGGAATCCTGGACTTGTAGAAACTAACAACATGCCTGTCAGCACTGTGTCAATCAGAGCTCTTCAATGATTGAACACCTCTCCTGTTCTTATTTTACATGCTTTTTCAAAATGCAAAGCCTCTCTGGTCTTGTTACATCTCTCAGATTCCTGCTATGCCCTAGAAGTGACAAGAATGGAGAGAAGCATTACAAAACCAATTATTGACGTTATTTCAGAGATAAGAAGAAAATATCAATATCAGTTTCATGAGATTTAAGTAGAAGGCTGGAATGCAAGTAAGTACATTAGCACAGCCACTGCACAGCAGTAGTCCCATCATTAGTAATGAGATAAGGTCATCCTTAACATGATTGCACTATATCATAATGTAAACACAGCCTGCTCACATAAACATATACTGTATCTAATGTTTCTATGGTGCAATCAGTAGTTGAAATCTACAGGACACTACAAGAGAATGAACCGACCTTTTAGCCGTAAGAAAAAGGACAATAATATGTTTCACTTTCCCGAGCTGTATCTGCTAGTAATCAGACCTTGACTGTTCCAGTTCAGATTCTCCTCTGCCCTTCTGAGCTGAGCGTCGATATCCCTGAGTTGGCCCTGAACCAGAGGACGCTCCACGTTAAGCAAAGACTGCATCACCTGCAGCCAGGCAGTGGGAGAGAGGAAAAAGAAACAGAGAAAGATGTGATGTGATTTCTAGCTCCCATTAAGTGTGTATAGAAATATCATTTTAATATAACTGCCAGTGAAAGGCCACGCAGAAGCCCAGAGCATTAAGACAGGGTGTCGTCCTCATTATTGTCACTGTTTCTGGATTGTTTCATGCTGCTGTGACTTAATTGGAAATGAACTTTTAGCTACCTGAAGCAATGAAATTGCTGAGACTGCTGTGGTACATGTGGTTGAGCTTTGTTGGAGCTGTCCTCTGTGTGGCTGAAGTAATTACATCAGTGAGTGCTCTTATACTGTTTTATGCTACATTATTAAAACTGCCATTTTGCCCCTGAGCCTACTTCCAATTACAAACCACAACAGAATTATGCACCAGCATATTTTATGTGCTAATTCTCTCACCGAATTCAGCAAACACAAACACATTACTGCACATCTCAAATTCAAATAAGTTGGGCTGTTTGTCCTTCTACATGCACAGCAATCACAGCAAGAGTACAGTGATATTTAAAACAGCAGTTGAGTTCAGTAGAATGTAACTGATGTTATGATTTGGACATTTATGAAAGCGTATCAGGCAGCAGAAAAAACAAGTAAACATTACCAATGCTTTACAGCCATGACAGCAGGTCTGCAACACTGCAATGCTCCTTAAACACAGGAAAACTGAAGTGCTGAATAAATTCAAAAATGGATACATGACTTTGTTTTTCAAGATTTACCACCAGTGGGGTGAAGAATGTTACATTTATCCTGAGGTTGGTGCTAGGAAAGCACATGGTAATTTCATATATCCTACTGAGAAACGCAAATGTTGAGCTGTCACTTAAATCAATAGGGCTTATCCTTTACAGCGAAGAAAATGTACCAAATGTCATCAATCCTGTTTATTTTCAGATATCTAAATACAAAGCTGGCAATGTGACCAGAAGGGGAAATGTTACATTAAGATCAGCTGATCCTTTGAAGATCATGATTATTCTGAACAATATCATTTTCCTTTCACAATATCTTGTCAAAAACCAAAATAAAAAACAAATGGAAATTGTGAGCTCTTTTCTCTTACAGATCATCTTCTCTGTGACCGAACATCCTCTCTGAATAAGAAAAATCAGTTGAGGTGTTTGACAGATTGATGCAACTGCACCATATTGAAAGGTCCAAGCAGTGCACTCGGTCCTAAGTAACACTAGCAAATTCACTGTACTTCTGTGTATCAGTAAGTAAAGGGAGTCCGTTTCCACTCACTGAACACTTGTTGTAGCTCTAAACATACTTAAATATATTAGCATGTATCCCCATGTAACCTCCATCAGCATCTTCTTCATATTCTTCATGTCCATACTTTTTTGAGATGCTTCTTGAAATGAATGTGAAGGTCTTGATGTTTTCTTCTGTCAAGTGAAACTAGCTGCCACAACAGTCAGTATAAATGCATGTAGCATATAATGCTAGCAGGACAAAGAATATTATGTTTTCCAGCATGTGACATCAGTTACAGGATGTCAGTGGTTGGACTGATCACTAGACGTTGCCATCAGTGGAAAGACCTCAGACAGTCACCGAGAGTTTGACGTTTTGTCCTCAGCTGCCATGCTCTAATGTCTGAAAACCGCAGTTTAAAAAACCTCTGTCTGGACTGCTTTTAGCCTAATCTACACCAACCTTGTTGTATCGGCCCACAGTGAGCTCCACGTTGGTCACATACTGCCACAGCTGCCCCCTGGTGGTGTAGATCTGCACTGCAGTTTCAGGGATGGCCTCCGCCTGTGTGGCCTCCAAGTACTTCACTTCTCTAAGCACAGAGGCCAGCTAGGGAGGGAGGGAAATAGTCAAACACTGAGACACATATGAACACATTAAACAAGTAGATCATAAAAATAGGATTCAACCTGTGCAAGCTTTTGATAATGTTTACCATTTTATATCTGTATTGTCATGCTAGTTACCATGGTAATAAAGATTTCAAAAATACAAATCTTAAGTATTAGAGTTTGGATATTGGTGGCAGAAATCTTTCCATCAAAATGAATGAGATGTCAGTTAGCACCTCTTTAGGACAGTGTGACCCATCATTACTGCCTTTAAATGAAACATTGAAATATTTATCTCAATAATCAATCAGTAAAAAGACTGCCCAAAGAAAAGGCAACTTTATTCAAGCATTTATGCAGCTGTGGGCAGGTGTATGACAGATACCCAATGATATTTAATAAAAACCTGATATATAACAAAACTAATAAATCACTCAAATCTTGTTGACAGTTACTCTGAGTAAAAGCTTTACAGGCAGAGACACGTCTAGCAGCCTGTCATAGATCAGTTTGTCTAGGATGCGGTCTTAATGTAAAAACCTGAGTGCTGAAGTTGACTGAGATCAGCTGAGTGGTCGGGTCTCTGCTGATTAATGGCAGGCTGAGGTTATACTGAGAAGTCTCGCACACGGTCTCTGTCCACGTCTCATACAGGCTGGTCGAGTATCTAGAATACCAAGCACAAAGTGCACAATCTGAGATCACAATAATACACAGGTTATTATCGCAGAAAAACAATCTGTACCTTTACTGCCAGACTAGAACATTGTTTTGTATTCTTATTAAAAGGAATGTGGCTTTAATTTCACGGCCACAGGCGTGAAAAGAACTGGCATCATGGAAATTAGCATACGCAACAAAACAAGCAGCTACAAGCCATATGATTTAGCCATTTTTTGTAGAGATGGTAAACAGAACAAGAGGCCGGATTCACTTGTCCATATCAAGCAGACAATAAGAGCAGAGAGAGGCAGCAGCGAAAAAGGGTTAGACACAGGTGCTGGGGATAAGGATAAACACTGATTCATTAGCAAGAGGTTGGTAACAGACAATATGTGAAGGCTCTGTACAGCTATATCAATCTGTAAATAGCCATGATTATGATGAGAACTACAATGTGCACTGTGTGTCACTTATTGCATTTCTGTTGTGAGCTTCATTTCCTGACAACGGCACCGCAGACACAGAGACAATCAAATGTCTCGGTCATAGCCATAAATCTCGGTGCATTTTGTCTGCGGGGGTAATGAGTGAGGATGCCCGTTCTGTTCCTAACTGGAATTTGTATAACAATGGTGGCGTTCACCCGAGGAAGCGACAATGATTATTACAGCATAACAAGGGCTCTAATTTCTGATGGGAGTACACTGAGGGCAAATAACTGGTGCTATTCATCACCCCATTGCTCTGGATGGGGTGACATCAAGTGAAGGAGTGATATTGAAACATCAAGAATGGGAATCTGCCTGGGTGTGTGTGTGTCTGTGTATGTGCACTGTGATGTGCATTTCATTCACAAAAGACCTATTCACATTCTCCTGGGTATGCTATGCACACACACTTTTACATGACCATACTTGTAAGGACTTAAACTGACTTAACTCCCTGTCTCTGTTGAAAATGTTACTGTAAGCTAATACTCATCCTAGTATTAGCTTCCAAAAAACATTAGGTGCATCTAATGGTTATTTGGATTATGAATTGTGAGGCCAACTGCAGGAGTAAAGTGTGCCAACTGGTCCAGTGGTGTAAGGACTGCATCACTGTGTGGTACGGAGGCGGTACTGCTTCCTGCAGAAGGACCCTGCAACGCATAGCAAATACAGCCAGCAAGATCATCGGTACCCCTCTGCTTTCGGACATCTTCAACACCCACCTCACCTGCAGAGCCATCAGCATTGCTGATGACACCTCCCACCCCGCACACTCCCACTTCAGACTCCTGCCTTCAGGGAGAAGGTATCGGAGTCTTCAGGCCCACTCCACCAGACTTACAAACAGCTTCATCCACCAGGCTGTGAGGATGCAGAACGCAGTCCATTATCACCCCCTGCCCCTGGACTGTGACCCACCACAGAAGCTAAAAAGACAACCTCTGCTGTTTTGCCCAAACCCAGTACAATCCCCCTTCTTGTTACATTTGTCTGGAGACGACTGTGGCTCAGTGGGTAGAGCAGTCGTCTCCCCACTGAACAATTGGAGGTTCAAATCACAGTGCCTGCAGTCCACGTGTCAAAGTGTCCTTGGGCAAGACACTGAACCCCAAGTTGCCCTCAATGGTTAGAACCATCAATATGAGTTGGCGCTGCAGATGGCTGCCTCAGTTCTATACGGGAAACAAATTCCTTGTGTGTAACATCCATCCATTTTCTAAACCGCTTAGTCCCAAACAGGGTCATGGGGGGCTGGAGCCAATCCCAGCCAGCTGCGGGCGAAAGGCGGGGTACACTCTGGACAGGTCGCCAGCCCATCGCAGGGCCAACACACAGACGAACCACCACTCACACACATGCACTCCTACGGGCAATTTAGAGACACCAATCAACCTATGCTGCAGGTCGTTGGACCGTGGGAGGAAGCCAGAGCACCCGGAGAGAACCCACGCAAGCATGGGGAGAACATGCAAACTCCGCACAGAAAGGCCCCAGGTTTGATCTTTGATCTTGATTTAATCTGCTAATTATAGTTCTGATACATTTATGATATTTTAAGACCATAAGGGAAAGTATGTAATTTGAGATGCTGAGACAAATAAAACTTATCTGTTCCAGATGACCAGCTGAGAACTAACAAGGACAGAGCATTTGAGGTCAGGGCTCTGAGGCAATTTAATTGTCTATTTCAGTTGTTATCTTCTTTTTAGAATTTATTTTATCTTATACCATTTTTTATTTTATGATCTAGATTTTATTTTGCTGCCCTGTATAAAGATCATTGCAACCTGAGTTTTGAAAAGTGCTCTACAAAATAATACAGGATGTGGTTTTATGAGAAGTATCTCAACAACTATTGAACTGACTGCCATTACATTTGGTACAGATGTCTAAGTTCCACCCAGAAATAACTGCAGTAGCTTTTGTGATCCCCTGACTTTCCTCTAGTGCCATCAGATCAAACTTTCAAATGCCAAAATCTCTGTTCATAAAAGATCTGGTTCATGATCAAATACCTGATAAAACTGCATTCCCATCATCCACTTTAGCTGTATTTTGTGCTTAGTGCTAATTAGCAAATGTTAGCAACACACAAAACTAAGATGGTTAGTTGCTAAGGTATCACCATGCACGGTCATTGTGAGCTTTGTTAACTGTTATCAGTAACTCTTCTTTGCCCCTTCCACCCACCCTCACCCACAGCATTATGGGGCAGCTGTGGCTAAGGAGGTGGAGAGGGTCATCCACTTCTCCAGTCTTCATGTTGAAGTATGCTTCAGCACACCAAGATGCTCCCAGTGGCTGTCCCACCAGTGTGTGGATGTATGTGAGTTTAGGATTCCAAATGGGTAAATGGGCAAATAGTGTGAAAGTGCACTGAGCGTGCTGCAGTGCATAAGGAAGCACATTGCAATTATAAGACCATTTACCATTTATCATTTAGACCTAACTGTTCCCACCAGCCTCCTTGGTTATATTTTGCCCTTACCTGTAGCTATCCAAGAACATTCTTGCATTACCTTCCAAAGCAACCCGTAAACCTAAATTAAAAAGTGGCAAAATGTGGTCTATTGATTGTGTTTTTATTCTTTGAGGACATTTCTTCAAGTATAAAACCATATAAACAGAACATCTCTCTCTATTTGTCTCTCACTCAGTTTAGTTTGATTCCATATAAACTGCACTTCCTCCAAAGGGATGCTTTATCTTGCAAGTTTTGATGTTGAATGTGGTCTAAAAGGGCATTTTTCACTTGGCATCAGTGAGCAGTAACAGCATGTGGGATTATGGGAGTCCCATGAAATAATCTGTAGAGCAGTGCCACTGTAATGAGAACATAAATCACACCCAAAGCTATATGTCTACATACTATTCCACAAGGACTGCTTCATAAACTTTATATGCTCAACTAACTAAATACAAATGTTCCATTTAAAACAGTGTTGCCATAAAATTACAGGTAGAAAACATGACAGAAACAAAACATATGTTATGTTATTGGCTTTCATGATATTTATAGTCCGATGAGGAGTCATCTGATATTGTCACTGACTATTCTGTTTAATCTTCCTTTCTGTTCTTTTATTCAGAAATACGTACATCTAACCATCTAGGCATGATGACATATTGGGTAATACACAGAGATAAGATCAACACACACCTGTCCAATAGTTGCATCATCTCCTCATACTTCTGAATGACCCTGGCTCCTTCTGCAGACTCCAGGCATCTACAGAGGAAATAAAATTTTACAACCCATGCAAAGGGTGGCCAGTATTGCAAAATATGATTTTTATGAGTCTTTTAAAACTGTGTGATTAACTCACAGAGACCAGTGAAAATGCGCAACCACATCAAAGGTATTTTTTTTTATCTTGCTGTGTTGGAGACAAGAGAGGAGACTCACGGGTACGACAGGTGCCTGAATTTGGAAAAGGGTATCTGGATGCGCTGCTGTAGCTCCTGGGCCCATCTCAGTCCTCCAGCTACTGTTGGCATATTCTTATTCACAGGTGCTGAACCTAAGGAGGTCGAGTTTCATTACTTCTCATAACAGTATTCACCATAAAGTTAGTATAAGGCTAAGCTAAGAGCTACACTGTTTTGTTAATGTACAAAATAATGCACAAACTAAGGCCACACCAGAGTAGTGTGTACCAACTAATTTTACATAGGTGCCATAAATTTGACTTATTTTAGTCAGTTTCTGCTGTGGTATGGTGATTGCATGGTCTGTGGTAACATATTATCTGTGTACAGAGAATCTGGGGAGTCCAGCTTCCTCCCACAGTCCAAAAACAAGCAGGCTAGGTTAATGGGCAATTCTAAATTACCTGGAGGTGTGAATGTGACTGTGAGCGGTTGTCTGTCTCTATGTATCAGCCCTGTGATTGGCCTGCAACCTGTCCTGAATGTACCCTTGCCTCTTGCCCAACAATGACTGGTATTGGCTCTAGTCAGCGCAAAATCCATGACCAGTGATCCCTACACAGATTTCTTTCACCTTGCACAACTTGTTCTGTTGTCATGCAAACACAGGCAATGATAACCTCACAAGATCAAAGCGACTTGTACTGCAGTTGATCACCTCTGTAATGTTTTATCAAAATGTTTGATTAGTTTTATTGATTTGTTAAATTAATTTTTTACTCATTTGATTTTGCACTATGAAGGTCTATTCTGTAAATAGAATAAATGTTAAGTGGTGATGGCGACTTTAAATTATATTACATATAGACTGCAAACCATGTATGACGGTTCTCATCTACAACACAAATATTACTGATTTATTCCTTGGGGTATTAAGCAACAAAAAAAAACTTTTGGTAATTGGGTTGTGAAGATTTTTAAAATAACATCTGTAAAGATGTTAGGCCAACATTCTAATTATCTAAAAGATCAATAATAAAACATTCTCCTGTATTTTTTCTCTTCTTTTCCCGTGTGTTTTTTTGTAATTTATTCATGTAAAGGAATAGCAATCGAGTCTGTTCAGCCGATTTATATACAAACCTCCCCCACCCCATCTCTTTGCAAAGTGACTAAACTGAACAAGTACTTTGTAGAATAAAGGAACTGTTCCAAATCTCACCCAGCGCCTCTGCGGTTTGGATGTGTTCCTTGTAGAGAACTTTACAGCAGTCCAGCTCCTTGTCAAACATGGAGACAAGGAAAGGGTATCTGTCCAGAGCATCTGCGGCCACTAAGGAGCGCAGCAGCAAGCTACCAAACATATCCAGAACCTGCAGACACCAGATAAGTGAAAAATTCAATATTTGCATGTGTGAGAGTGTGAATGTGGGTAGAAGCGAGAAGAAAGAGAGAAAAAAGAGAGAAACTAAGTTCTCAGACCTTGAAGGCATGCTCTAGTCCGGAGGCGTCATCAAAGGCCTGACAGAAGATGGCCCCTAGTCGTCGATCTGTGTCATCCACCCTCAGTCTGAACTCCCTAACATCTTCTTCAAACTCCTGCAGGGCAGATACCTCGGCTGAGATCGACTGACAAAACACCACACAGCAGTACAAGCTAACAAAGCGCCAGCACAATATACTCCTTTCCACATCTCACTGACACAAAGCCATCCAGCCTGGGTCTCCCAAGCAAAGTAAATTGCTTTTCCTGCTATAACTCAGGAACATCTTGGTTAAGCAACTAGATGGTACTGAACAAGGTATTTTGGCAGAAAAACAATTTGCTCCACAAATGCTGGAGTGGTCAGGCAGGAGTGGTGCGTGCACGCACCATGCGTGCCAGCCAGAGTAAAAAAAAAGAAATTGTACTGAGCAGTATTCAGAGGTAAAAATTACACTAACTGTATAGCCTGTATCTACTATTTCATAAACTCTTGTGAAGTGACCCTAAAGGTTGCACTGCAAAATGCCTTTTTTGTCTTTCTCCCAGCAGACAAGTGAGCAAATCCCTCATGCACTCTGAGATCCTAATACTACATACCATGTTGCTGAGGTCCAAGCAGTCATAGGGCTTCTCTGTGAAGAATTTGTAAGTGTCCACAAACTCTTGATAGAGTAGCTGGACCTGCTGGCTGAGCGCTCGGCCTCTGACACCTCCAATCTCCAATTTCTCAAGCTTCAACAGGTCCACAGCTGTTAAGAGGATGTCCTATAAGAAGACAGAAAGAGGAAATTGATGGCAATCAATCTTAACTGCAAAAGAATGACCTGACCTTTTGAAAGAAGGCAGGTTTTAGTGTTGTATCTTAATCCATGTACCAAAAAATGAACATAATGCTTACACACACACCTGAATGGTCTTGACTCTGTTAATAAAGCGGTCAAGCCCAGAAAAGACCAAAAGCGGGGAAAAGTCCCAAGGCCTGGCCAAGCTTCCGCTCTTCTGGTACTGGCTCAGGTTTGCCCTCCGGTCTTCATAGGTGCTCTTGAAGAGCTGCAGGACCTCTAGGCTTGTCTGCACCTTCTTGAGACTCTCTGAAACCTCCCCTCTCAGAACCTCTTCTGGAACTAGAAACACCAAGGCCTGGTGTAGGAGAGCAGCAACACTTTGGCTTAAATTCGGCTTAGTTAGGCTTACAAGTGTTATAGTGGCTACTAAATGTTAAGCTGATAGTCAACATGGCGCCTGCTGTGGCCAATGTGTTTGCTGGTTCCACTCTCGAATGCTGACTTTTTCTTCTTTTTTGTGTGTTTTTTGTTCGTTCTGCAGTGCACAAATGTCATCCACTGCTAACATACAACAGACAGGCATTGCTAGATATTGCCAACTCGCACAGCCACTTGGAATATGTGGGTTTCATACCACCGAAGCTACAGCTTATTGTTTGCTCCCGCAGTCATCACCACCCCCAAGAAGGCCACAAAGCACCAGGCTCAAGTGAGCAGACTGAAACCAGGAGAGCGCTCCGGAGACGGAGATGTAGGCGGGGCAAGTGGGAGGGCTCCATGCTAGGCTAAGAGCTCGCACTAACCGACCACCGCTACTCAGCGGGGCAGATGTGGTATGGCCTGCAGCACATCACAGACTACAGAACCACCACCAGCATCATCAGCTCCACAGACAGCCTGCTGGATGACCTCAACACCTTCTACACCCGCTTTGAGACCCCCAGCCACAGGACAAAGCCCTGAGGAAGATCAACCCCCGCAAGGTGGCCAGGCCAGACAACATCCCTGGTCAGGCTTTGAGACCATGTGTCAAAGAGCTAGCTGATGTTCTCACCACCATCTTCAACCTCTCCCTCAGCCAGAGCATCATTCCCACCTCCTTCAAGACCACAACCACCGTCCCCCTTCCCAAGAGCCCGGTCACCTGCCTGAATGACTACAGGCCAGTGTGGTTCTCACCTGGAAAATGGAGACTCCTACATCAGGATACTCTTCATTGATTACAGCTCCGCCTTCAACACAGTTGTCCCCCACAAACTCACCCACAAACTGTCCACACTAGGTCTGCACCCCACCCTCTGTGACTGGCTCCTGCACTTTCAGACTGGCAGGCCCCAGACTGTCAGGATTGGCAACAGGACTTCAGCCAGCATCACTACAAACACTGGCATTCCACAAGGGTGTGTCCTCTCATCGGCCACTGTTCATCCAGGGGCTCGAAGTGGAGAGGGGAAGGAGCTTCAACTACCTGGGCATCCACATCAGTGAGGCCCTCACCTGGACACTTAACACTACAGAGCTGGTCAAGAAGGCCCAATGACAGCTGTACTTCCTGAGGAGGCTGAGGAGGTTTGGCATGTCGCCTAGGATCCTTTGCAACTTCTACAGCTGCATCATTGAGAGCATCTTGACCAGCTGCATCACTGTCTGGTATGGCAGCACTACTGCTATGGACTGCAAGCTCCTGCAGAGAGTGGTAAAGACTGCAGAGAAGATCACCAGGACTCCACTGCCCTCTCTGCAGAGCATCTAGCACTGCAAAGTCCACAGAAAAGTTGCCTCCATCCTCAAGGACCCCACCCACTCCCAGCATGGACTGTTCACACCTCTACCCTCCGGCCGGGGGTACAGGAATGTGAAATGCAGGACCTCTAGACTAAAAAACTCTTTCTTTCCAACTGCCATTAGACTCCTAAACATCTGAAGGAGTTTATAATCAGGAATTACTTCATGTAATTCGATCTGTACTGTTTACATTCCAAGTTTGCACATACACATCTGCACATGAATAATTGCACACTCATTGCCACCTATTGCACATCCAGTTCCAATGTGGCATACATTTGTCTCCACTTGCTATTTTTAAGTCCCTTTAGATTTTGTGTACTATTCATCTACCTATTCTATTCTTTATATTTTTTATTACATTTGATTCCACTTGCTATTTTTAAGTTCCTTTAGATTTTGTGTACTACTTTGTGTACTCCATCCATCCATCCATCCATCCATTTTCTTCCGCTTATCCGGGGCCGGGTCGCGGGGGCAGCAGTCTAAGCAAAGATGCCCAAACCTCCCTCTCTCCAGACACTTCCTCCAGCTCCTCCAGGGGAATGC